AAGGAAGGAAGGAAGGAAGGAAGGAAGGAAGGAAGGAAGGAAGGAAGAAAGGAAGGAAGGAAGGAAAGTAGGGAGGGAGGAAGGAAGAAAAAGGGAGCAAGGAAGGCAGGGAAGGAGGAAGAGGGAAGGAGGAGGGAGGGGGTATAAAAGGGAGCTATGGGCAAATGACTTCAGTTCTTTCAGGGAAATATGACACGAGGCAGTCAAATGAAAGGGGTGTGAGAAGGGGGAGCCCTGAGAAAGTTGAGGGGGGACAAAAAGGTTTGGAAAAACCATGGTAGTAAGATAGTTCATTATGGAGGCATAAAAGAATCGCTCCGCCACAGTGAGGGCCCAATTGAGATGATGTAAAAAGTCTATAATGGACCCAGTAGGCACATTTTCATGATTTTCTCTAGCTTCATTCATTAGCCTAGGAGTAAGGGCAAAGGCAGTAAATGGTGAGAGTAATCTTACCCAGACTAGGACTTGGCACTGTAAGACTAGAGAAAAGACAAGGAATTTTGAATTAAACATTAACAAGCAATAATTGCAAAACAGAGAACAGTAAATATTGTTGTTGAAATCCCTCAAACTTCAATGAACCCAAAAAATGATTAACTTAAAGGCTCAGGGGGAAAAAAAGGTTATTGAGGCAAAGGGAATAAGCATTTACATAGAGCCTACTAGGTACCAGACACTGTACCAAGTACCGTACAAATATCATCTCATTGAATTCTCACAACTCCTTTGTGAGATAGGTGATGTTATGCCCATTTTACAGTTGAGGAAACTGAGGTTAAATGACTTGCCCAGAGTCATACAGCTAGTAAATATCTTTGGTCTTCCCAACTCCAGGCCCAGCACTCTCTCCACAGCACCACCTTAGTGGCTAGCTATCTATTGGGATAATATGCCTTAAAAAGCTCTGATTTCTAAGGGGATTATCAAGTTTATTGTTCAGATCCTAGCTGGGTCAGAACTCTAGCAATATTATCTCAGGAATCTTCTTGTCAGATAATTTGTATCTTGTGTTTGTTTTTCCTTTCTCTTTGTAAGCATGACTGTGTAGGCTACGTCAGTCAATTAACATTTATGAAGTATATACCATGTGAGAAACACTGCCAAGTGCTGGGGATACAAAAAGAGGCAAAAGACAATCCCTGCACTTGAGGAGCTTACAGTCTAATGGGGGAGACAACAAGCATGAGAAAACAAGCCATATACAGAATAAATAGAAGATAATCACAAGAGGGAAGGCACCAGAATTAAAAGGTGTTAGGGAAAGCTTCCTGTAAAAGGTGGGGTCTTAGTTAGGACTTAAAGGAAGCCAATAGGTAGTGATGAGCAGGGAGAGCATTCTAGGTATGGGGAACAGCCAGGAAAAAGGCCCAGAGACAAGAGATGGAGCATCTTTGTTTGTGGAACAGTCAAGAGGCCAGGGTCCCTACATGAGAGGACATGGTGAGGAATAAAGTTCAAGAAGACAGGAAAGAAGGGAGGGGATTAGGTTATGAAGGGCTTTGAATCCCAAACAGAGGATTGTGCATTTGATCCTAGAGGGGATAGGGAGCCACTGAAGTTTATTAAGTGGAGGAGGTGACATAATCAGACCTGCACTTTAGGGAAGAGACTTTGGCGGCTGAATGAAGGAAGGATTGGAGTAGGGAGAGACTTGAGGCAGACAGATCCTCTAGAAGGTTATTTCAATAGTCCAGGCATGAAGTGGTAAGGGTCTATACTAGAGTGGTGGCAGTGTCTGAGAGATGGGGGGCTATTCAAGAGACATTGCAAAGGTGAAAAAAGGACTTGGCAACAGATTGGATATGGGAGGTGAGCGATAGTGGATAGTCCAAGATGGCACCTAGGTAGGCACCTAGGAAAATGGTGTTGCCTGCTATGATAACAAGAACTTAGGAAGAGGGAGAGGCTTTAGGAGGAAAGATAATGAGTTCAATTTGGACATGTTGAGTTTAAGACATCTGAAAGGCAATAGGAGATGGGAGATTGGAGGTCAGCAGAGAGACTGGGGTAGAATAGGTAGATTTGAGAAGCATCAGCATAGAGATAGTAATTAAACCCATGGGAGCTGATGAGATCATCATGTATAGAGAAGCCGCCCTCACAGAACTCTCTGGGACACCTAGAGTTAAAAGGCATTTTCTGGATGAGGATCCTTTGAAGGAACCTGAGGAGCACAGTTTGACCTCAGTAAGTCAAAGACTAATAGCCAGTCTTTAATATTTTCCTTATATTTCTTCTGGATCTTTTATATCAATTTTTCCATTGAGTTCCAGTCTTTTTGTCACAAATACCTGAAAGTCTTTCAGTTCGTCAAATATTCATTTTTTTGTTCAGGATTATTCTCAACTTTGCTGGGTAATTTATTCTTGGTCACAACCCCGGCTTTTTTGCTCTTTCAAATATAATATTCCAAAACCTATGATCTTTTAATGTAGAAGCTTCTAGGTCTTGTGAAATCTTGATTGTATCTCGGCAGTATCTAAATCGTTTTTTCTTTTCTTGTTGCTCACAATATTTTCTCCTTCACCTGAGAGTTTTGAAACTTGGCTGTGACATTCTTGTAAGTTTTCCTCCTGGGATCTTTTTTAGGTGATGAACAGTAGACTTTTTATCCTTTTTTCCTTTTTCTACTTGACCCCCTCATTCTAGAACTTCTGCGGAGCTGCTCCAGGGAAGCAGAGAAGTCCTCAAAGAACTTTCAGCTCATCTAACCCAGCATGAGGATCAGATGGCTGGTTGAGGGAAAATGGAAGGACCCCTGCTGTTTCCAGATGCTCCATCTAGTGGTGCTGACCAGACATGATCCTGAGCTGTGACCGTGGGACAGAAGGAGTGAGCTCACAACAAGTGAGGGTGGTCCCAGTAAAGCAGGGAGCAAGAGGATTTTCAGGACAGCAGAGCTCAGGGCCCTATCAATTTAGAACTAGGCCCCAAAAGATACTAAACTGTGTCTTTGACCCAATTGTACCACTACTAGGCCCATATCCCAAAAACATCAAAGAACCAGCGGGGGAAAAGCATATATACAAATGTATTTATAGCATTTCATTTTGTGTGAGAAAAGAACAGGAAATTAAGGGGATACCTATCAACTGGGGAATGGATAAACAAATTATGGTATATGAATGTAACAGAATACTTTTATGTGTTAAGAAATGATGAAAGTGATGATTTCAGTCAACCTGGGAAATTTTGCAAGAACTGATGCGTAGTGAGTTCTGAACCCTTTGACAAAGTCGTGTCACCTCACTAGACCTCTGTTTCCCCAAACATCATCTATAAAATGAGGGCAATGGGCTAGCTGATTGTTTTCTAAAGTTCCTTCCTGGGTGCCATCAAGGGGCTGATCATGGACTAGGGGAACACAACAGAATGACTAGAAACAAGTGTTACAAAATGATTTTAGACAAAGATGCTCTCCTGTCTTTTCAGCACAAAGGGGCAGGCGTTTTTCAGTGCTTGTTGGAAACACCAATGCTTTTGCATCACTTAAATGATTCAGTGCCTCATCTGAATCTGGAAGAAGGAAGAACAGAGAGAAAGGAGGGTATGTGAATATAAGGCAGGTAGAACTTGATGAGGGAGGACTCACTGAGGAGCCCTGAACTTCCTAGATCAAGGGAGTGTAAGGGAGAGTTTCAAACTTGAGTCATAAGACATGGATTTAAGGTATGGTGCTGATAGTTGTTGTTTCTTTCTGGACCCCACTTTTCTCATCTGTAAAGTGAGGACAACAATATTTGCACAAAGTACCTTATAGGTTTGTCATGAAGAATGTACTTTGTTGTTACAGAAATGTGTTATTATTAGACCATAGAAATATAAGGTGTTTTAGATTTAGATCTGGCAGGAATCATTCATCATAGCCATCAGTTGGAACCACCTAATATGAACTGAGTCCCAGAGTAGTTCAGTAATTTGCCCAAGGTCATGCAGTTAATAAGTGGCAGAGCTATTACTTAAACTCAGGTTCCCCGACTCCAAATTTCATGACTTTCCACTACAGCACCTAGAATAGGGCAACCACCATGGACCATTCTCAGTGAAGTAAATTGAAGCATACACTATGTGTGTGGATAGATCACCTCACCTAGTGCAGAACCCTGGTTCAGTGAGCCATCCTGAACTGAAGATGGCTGGAAACGTCAACTGGCTTACTGCTTGCTTACATAATGAAGCTCAATTCTCTCTTTACAGCTTCTATTCCTCTGCTCTGATTGAGATCCCATTTCTAGATTCCTGAACTTCTTACTGCACCCCACATTTAAGCCAATAGGACAGACTCAATCCTTTATGATTAACCTGCGGCCTCTCACAGTGTAGAGCCTGGGCAAAACACACCAAAAATGATCTCACTGCCAAGGGAGAAAGAGCAAGGTTAAGGGAAAGGAGACAGTGCTGGCACCAATCACACACTAGGTTTCAAATGCCTTACAAGGTGCCACAACACTGTGTTAAATGCTTAACAATTATCAGCTCCTTAGATCATTTCACAATAATCCTGGTAGATAAATACTATGATTATCCCCATTTTACAGGTAAAGAAACTAAAGCAAATGGAGATGAAGTGACTTGTCCAGGATCAACAGGCAGTAAATGTCTAAGTCTGCATTTGAACTCAGGTCCTCCTAATGCCAGGTCTTACACTCTGTCCAAAGTACCACCTCACTGCCATCACTTTGTCAGCAGTTAAGCTGCCATCAGAGTAGGAAACATGTATATGTTGAAGTATATAACCTGAGACATTTAAGGAGTAGAAAATGGCTTCTAACTCATTGATGGTGGATAATTGCACACAAGTACAGGATAAAGGCCCTACTAACAAGAAGCTTAGGATCTAGTGAGGAACACAAGACAGGATCCATAAACATTTCTGAAAGAATACACAACATAAGATTGGTATATAATTCAGGCTTAAATTGTGTAATATAGATTGTAAGTGCTAAAGAGGTTACAGGGATATGGCATCTAAATTGTGATGTGAAGTGTGGGGAGGATTACAATTAGTGCAGTTGAAGAGAAGAAATATTCTAGGAACAGGGAATTTCTGGGGAACAGGGAATTGGGGAAAATGAAGTCATGATTTTGGTAAAAGTGAAAGGGAGTATTAGATTATGCTAGAAAGGTATATTGGGCTGAGATCATAGAGGACTTTCATTGTCAGGCAATGGAATAAATACAGCTTGTCCATAGCACATGAGGAGACTGTAGAGTAGTTGGAACCAGGGGTGGTCCTTCACATGTTTAGGAAGGTAGAAAGCAGAGCTCATAGGAGGGAGGAATTTTGACAAATCCACTGGCAACTGGGGTGGTGTCAATATCTTTTGGGTCAATGGGAGATTTCAAGGTAAAATTCTGCAAAATGGTAGTAAGAAACAGAAATAATTCCATTCGAGCCAGGCCCTCGCCAGCACATATCCGTTTTCCTGAAAGAGACCAATATGAGAATTTGAAATTTGTACACTTCTAAATCATTTAGCACACTAACACTCAGTGGCATTAGATGAAAGACTGCATACATTCCTTTCCTCTCTGGTCCTTGACTCTTTTGAAAAGCCAGTTCCTCCTGAACAGAGAGGGAAGACCCCTCCTGTATCCTCTCTCTAAATCAATTCCCCCTGAGCCAGAGCAAGTCCTGGGATTCATATTCAGAGGAAAGGAAACCTTACGGAAAAACAATCACTCATTTATAATCTCAAGGAATAAGTTTACGGCTACCCAGAGTGACTGCAATGGGGAAAGGTGACAGAAGAATAATCAAAGTTCCCTTTGGGAATCTCCTGTCACCATTCTGGACAGAAAACACCTCTGGAGACTACCCCACAACTTCATGGCCATCTAGCCATTTGTCTTAACTACTCACTCCTAGCTCTAACCCAAGTATTGGAACCAACTGAACAAGGCATTGGAGACCACAATGTCAGAGATAGTTAGCTACCTGACAACATTCATATCTGGCAGGCCCAGACATGGCTATCACCATCATTACCTGATAACCAGTAGGTTCCCCTAAGAATTGAAGATGAAAGGACAAGGCACACTATCATCTATAATTCTGTACCAATAGATCCCCGTTAAAATGTACATAACTAGGAAAGAGGGTTCCATACTCGTGTGTCCTAATCAGGAGTCACATTTCTACAAAATCATAAACTCTGCGATTAACCCTTGGTTGACCTTAGCCATAATGGTACCTGAGTAATGGACCTTAAGATAACCCAGTTCCCTTCCTTGGCTTGATAAATTACAAGATTTTACCATGCTAACATAAAAGCCTGGAAGACTTTATCTGAGAAGTAGCTCCAGGTTGACGGTGCGTGGGAGGACGGTTATTAATGTAGGGGGAAGACTTTAGTTGTGGGTCTGAATGCAGAATAGAGTGGCCACTATCTCAGTTCTGCCTCTTTTTTGGAATAAGTTCAGACAACTACTCTGAAACTGAACTGATTTAGTTGATGAACCTTGGCCTAAGGAGAACTAGAAGAATGATTTACTATGTCTCCACCCTACTCCCTGGATTTAGAAATTGGAAGGACCATAATGGTCACCTGGACAAACCCAATCTTTTGGCATATAAGGTAACTGAAGCCCAGAAAAATGAAATAATTTGACCAAGGTCACATAAGGTTATCTGAGTTATCAATCCATCTTTAATGCATATATTTAGATGGATGTCTTACCTGCTGAAAAAGGCATGAAATAGTCGCTCTTCTTAAAGTTGCCACTTTCATCCAGGAAGTGACTGGGGTCAAACTGGTCTGGATTGGGGAACTCTTCATCATCATACAGAACAGAAGACAGTAATGGTATGATGGTGGTACCCTGAAATAAGCAGATACAAACAAATAATTAGAAAACAAGAACCATAGAATGTTAGAGCTGAAAAAGAACTTAGAGCTATCATCTAGTCAAAAACCTCATTGTCAAGTATAGAAAGAGTCAACATATTTTTAAACACCTGTGCTGACAGTAAATTAGAAAGTCTACAATACTATTGTAGATGTGAAATGAATGTATGTACAAATGAAAATGAATTGTGACACCATGAGTCCTAGAACTACTACAGATGAGTAAAAGATGCAAGGAGGAATATCAGGTTAATAAAAGTTAATAAAATAACTTTTGACCATCAGATCTATCAAAGAGGAAAGAGCTGCCTGGGTGAACAATAAGCACACTAATTGTGGAAAAGTTCAAGCAGATTCCAGATGATCTGAAGAGGCATAAATTAATTGTGACCTGTGTCAGGATGTTGAAAAATAAAATAATGTCACACAAAAGAATAAAGCAAAAGCTGATAAACAGATTGGTAGCTTTTCTTGAAAATGAAGAAACTGGGTATTCTGAGGAAGAAGCACTTACTCGTACCCTAAAGAATGGTAGCATAGGTTCACAGGTGTTATCTGGTAAGATATCCAGAAAGAAGAGAAGAATAATGATTCTTTACTCCCTGTGGAAGGATACTGAAACAGTTGTTTCCTGACAATGACTAAAATGGATAGGTCTGCCATATTCTCAGAGCATATATGAAAGACATAATAGAGAACCTTACAAAACTTGAAAAAGGGGATGACTAGTACCCACCTCTGGTGATTCACAGGGGCAAAAATAATATTACCATAAGGAATCTGGGAAGCATTTCCAAAGGTTTTGAAAATAAAAACAAAAAAAAACTAAAGACTTTAGGAACACAGGTGGTGTATTCATTATGGTTGTAATTGGAAACAAAAGATTCAGAAAGGAAAGGCAGATTTCAGAAGTGCACATCTTGTAAGAGGGTGTTTCAGAATGGGATTTGGATTTCTGGACCACATCTTAATAAAAATATAGAAACGATAGACTCCTAGCCAGGAATGAAATGATGTACCTAGCAAAGCCTAGAAAGATTATTCTTTCGATTTCTTACAAATACAATCAAAAGAGTTTTTCAGTGCTTAAAGTGGGGCTAAAAAAAGAAGATGGATTGGAGTTATAAGACAAAGAAGCAAATTTGACCTCAAAGTTATAACTAGGGCTTGGTAGGATGAGATGCCTAACAAGACTGAAGTTCTGGAAAGAATATGTCTTATTCAAAAGAAACAGGACAGGAAAAAGAGGGTGGGGTAGTAGATATTAAGAAGATATACTCATGTGAGGCTATTCAAGAAGCAGAGGAAAGAATGATGAGAAGCTTCTAGGTAAAGAGAAATGGAGGCAACATCAAGAGTGACATTGTCGTGAGAGGATTCTACGGACCACATGGACAAAAAGAAGAAATAGATAAGGAATACAGAAGAGATATTATAAACCCTGGTGGTTAGACATGATGTAGCAGTGATAGAAAACTTCAATTACTCATTTGGATCCTTGAGTTTCCTTTCTGTGAAAAACAGAGCAGTTCATCATTCCTTGACTTTTCTTAATGATAATTTTATCCTGCAATTATAGTGGAACCAAAAAATGGGAATTCTTTTATTGATCAATTCTCACCATATGAGAGGAACTTAAAGAACATAGATGTGAATAAGGATCTGTAGAACCCCTGTGGCACAACATTCATCCACTGAAGGGATCATGCTCTGTTGAAGGCTATGCTACCACACTTGGCACACTTTCTGTGCACACCTATGGATGAGAATGATGGGAATTTTTGAGAAAGTGACCAGTCCATCTTAGGGTTCGTAACAAAGGTAACTAAGTGGCCTAACAGGTAAAGTACAGGACGTGTAGTCAGAAAGAACTATCTGGCCTCAAACACTCACTAGCTGTGTGACCCTGGCCAAATCACTTACCCTCTCTCAGACTGTTTCCTTATTTGTAAAATTATAATAATGGTAATAGCACCTACATTTCAGGGTTGTTATAAGGATAAAAAGATATATTTTTAAAGTGCTTCACAAACCTTAAAGCTAGCTATTATTATTATCACCAGGAAAGACAAGAATTTGTTTCTGATCTGAAGACACAAAGAAAAAGAATTCTGAAGATGGAAAAAAGGAACACTCTCTAAAGATACCAATGTGGATAAGGTACCCAGGTGGTGCAGTGAAGAGACTATTAGACCTGAAGTAAGGAAAACCTTAGTACAAATCCTGACACACACTTACTAGCTGCATGACCCTAGGAGAGCCAGGTGCTCTCTCTAAGACTTAGTTTCCTCACCTGTAAAGGGGATAATAATAGCATCTACTGACACAGAATTGTTGTAAAGATTCAATAAGATCATCTATGTAAAGCAAACCTCAAAGTATTTTATAAACAACAGTTATTGTTATTACAGAGAACTCACCAAACAACTTAGATTTTTCAAAGACAAGGATGAGAAAAAGAAGCATGTCACAGTTCCATAAGAATGACAGAAGTGGTAAAGCCCAAAATGAACAGAGGTTGGTAAGGCTAACTAAGGGAACCAAAAGCAGAAAAGAGGAGGATTAAAGAAAGGATAACCCCACAACTCAGAGGGTTATAGGATGAGAATGACAAGTGACAAGAGAAGACACAGAACTTCTCAGTTTTTCTTTTGCTTGTTTTTCTTTTCTGACCAAGGGAATGATCTTTGAACTGAAAAGGAAAGAATAAATAAATCAATATGGCTAATAGGGATTGAATATACCATGGAAATAAGGAGAAAATAAGGGAGCTCCTAGACACCTGTGCCAGAAAAATAAAATGAAAAAAGTGTACTTCAATTTGCACTCAGAGTCTAGAACATATTTCTAAAGAGATCATTAATCTAGATAAGGAAGGGATAAGGAAATGACTCTAGATAAGGAGGTAGTGGTCACAAAGATCTGGAGTAGAATCATCATTATTTTGGTTTTTTGAGTATGATAATAAACTGTCAGATCAGGAGAATGCTGTAGATAGTGTTTCCTTAGATTTTAGCAAAGCTTTTGATGAAGCTTCTCATGTTCTTCTGAAAATGATGGAAATATACAGGTTAGACTATCTTATAATTACGTTGGTGGATTTAAAACTGATTGACCATAAACCAAGGGTAAATATTGAAGGTTCAAAGGCAGCTTGGAAGCGGGCACCGCTGTACTCTGAGCTCTTCAGCTCATAAATGAGGATTGTATTCCTTCTAGGAGTCATATTTTAGGAGGACATTGAAAAGCTGGAGGCTACTCAAGGGAGGGTAACCAGGATGGTAAGAATAACAAGTCCAAGCTATGTGAGGATGGATAGAAGGAAATGGGGACATTTAGACAAAAGAACAGAAGACATAACAGAACAGGAGACGTAATAGCTGATTTCAAGTGTTTTATGGACTTTTTTTTTTTGGTGATGCCATTGGAGTTAAGTGACTAGCCCAGAGTCACACAGCTAGTGAGTGCTATGTGTCTGAGGCTGGATTTGAACTCAGGTCCTCCTAACTCCAGGGCCAGTGCTCCATCCACCGCACCACCTAGCTGCCCCTTTATGAACTTTTACTAGAAAGAGAGAATAACTTTGTTCTGTTTTGTTCCAGGGGACAAAACCAAGAGCAATAGATTAAAGTTACAAAATTGCAAATTTAGGCTTAATGCAAGAAAAAAAATTCCCTCAAATTAGGGCTGTCCAAGATTAGAATGGAATGCCACAGCAAAAAGTGGTTACATCTCATTGAAAATCTTTAGGCAAAGATTGGATGACCATGAGGTGAGCACACTGTAGATGGAATTCTTTTTTAGATTGGTGATGAACAATATGACCACTCAAATCCCTTCAAATTCTGAAATTCTGTGACCACTTCTCAGGGATGTGGGTTGGCCTGAGGTTCCTTCTAACTCTAAGATTCTATAATTCAACGGAAGAGAGTATAAAATCTCATGTTATACTGAGAAACACTTCTGACCTTGGGGATAAGATATTGTCTAAACTGAACATCTTCTGACACTGCATGGGGCAAGTTGGTTGGAACAAGGTCAATGTAACGCTGTATCTCGTGTACCACAGCATTGATGTAAGGCATCTTGTTTCTGTCCTCCATGCAGGGACTTCTATCTCGGCCAATCACACGATCAATTTCTTCATGAATTTTTCCTGTCACAATACAAATGAAAATTGATCTTAAAAAAAGGAACAAAAACTGCCTTCTCTTATATTTTCTCTGACTTTTCCATAAGAGCTAAATTGGTGAATAATGCACTTGACTCTCACATTCTGATAGATAGATAGATAGATAAATAGATAGATAGATAGATAGATAGATAGATAGATAGATAGATAGATA